CAAAGTTTTCAGGAATACAGGAACCAAACTTCCATGAGCACAAACGTTACCCAGATCCCTTTATCTCATCTGACGTGAGCTGGGTGCAGTGGTACTGTCATTTTAACCCAGCGATGCAAACATTGCACCTTAATCGAAATAACAATGTTTACATTGCAGGGTTAAATCCACCTCTTGTTGCTGTCTTCCTAACAGCCACTGGAGGTGCTCCCTCTTGAACCACTGAGCAAAAACTAGGTCACATGACAGTGCAGCTCATAGAAAGCCTCAAATTCATTGCTTGGGCATGGGTGCGCATGGAGAACTCGCTGTGCATGCGCATCAGGTCCTCATACTTCAACCCTGCAATGTAAAAACATTGCAGTTTTATAGCCTTTGGACTAATTTGTTTTTTAAACTTTTTTTCTACAGAGAAGAAACTATGGAGTGAGGGTTTGGAATTTAATGTTGTTGGTATGTGTGGATGATATCTATAAGTAAATGGCACAGTCTATGAAAGGTGAACCTTCAGACTACTTGCTCTGCCATCTCCAAACAGTGTATTTTGCCTTCTGTCCTTACCCTTCTTTGTAGCGTTTAAAGTGGCTTTGTCACTTAATTCTTCCCCCCCTCCCCTCCTCCCATTGCCACAGCATATTATCTAAGGCTGCCTCAATATACCCAAAAACAAACAGTGACCCAAGAGCTAGTGCTGTTTACCATGTTTGAGGTTGTGCCAGTCTAAATTTATGGCGCCACTATTTTAGTGGTTCCAAGATGGTGGGTACTAAAAATCTCAGCCTCTGCCCTTTCTGAACCTCTGATGGCTTGCTTGGAGCTGTATAAAGTGATGATGCGATGCTGTCCTAAATGACACTTCGCTGTAGGTAAGTGAGTATTAAGTTGACGGCCAATGACAAAGTTGACAAAATACATGGCGTTAGAATATAGCTCCACCCTTTGTCAACCTGTAGGCTATGCGGTTAGTCCAAAGTCTATGCAGAAACCCAACATTGTAGCTATTCAAAGGAAATCGTGTTACCTTATCCATACTAATGTTTATTGTTTACAGATGACAAATTACCTCCACATGCTAGACCAAGGTTCCAAAGATGATTGTTTTTTTTAACATTCCTTATATAGCACATGTATCCAGAGTGCTTTACAATTTTGAAAATAAATGCAAGTATTGTTTACAGACAGTGGAATATAAATTCAGACAAACTGATACTAAAGGAATATGAAACCTGAATATAGACTCAAGCCGAGTGCATAATGTACTAGTAAAGGGTTGTCTTCTTTGAGGGAAGTGTTGCTAAATTGTTCATTTGTTGGCCAGTGGGAGGGGTCTCCTCCTTCCTTACGAGGGCCATGCAGCTTGCTAGTTCCTCTGTCTACTATTTCCCTCTACAAGTTTCCAGCCTTTCCCTTCCCATTGTTGTGGTATTGGGGATTAGGAAAAGGAATGTCACTAAGTTTCTAGCTTCTCCTTAGTGGGAGTTGTCTTAGTTGCCCATGGCGGGCTATTTTTTGTCAATTGAGCCCTTTGAGTCCTGTCCTTGTAATTTAGCGGCCCCTGTGGTTGCTGTGGGTTTGTTTCACCTGGGAGCACCACAGCTCTTCTAGGCAGGAGCTTATCTGTATGCCTCCTCCCGCAATAGAGTACAGTTACTGGGAGTGATGCAGAGATGGAGTACAGAGTGTTGGCAGAGAGCTGTGCAGTTGGGTTGCTTCCTGCCTTCAAAAAGTTGCCTATTGGTGTGCCCTTCCAGAGCATCTCGATGAAGATCTTCAGTACTGTCCAATATACCTTCGCTTAAACAGAAGCAATGGGTGCTCCTCTGCAGGTCTAGATGGAGCAATATCCTCAAGGGCTTGTAGTTAGACCCTCACTTTCATTACCTAATTTAAGAGTTATTTATTATTCATTGTTATTCTTGGTTACGATTTTTGGATAATTTTGTTACAAGTGATGTTCTTTCCTCTCCAACCTATTGTCCCTGTCTCATTGATTCTTCCTGGGAGTGTGTTGGGTAGGGAGATTTTGGTGGGTGGAGTTTGGGTTGGCTGTTTTTTGTTTAGCTACATATTGACCATAGGAAATCTATCCTTTAAGATTCTGTTAGCTTACAATCTATTGGATGGACATCATTTCCTGCAGATGAACACTAACAAAAAGGTAAAAAAAAGTGTATCAACACAAATATATGACAAAGGTACACATATTACTAAAAGCTCACTAAAAGTGACACACCTTGCAGACAGCTATAAAACCAGAGCTATAAACTATTATTAACATGAATGTCCATAAATAAATCCAAATTTGATATTCCAACAGATAGTGTTCCACTTGAGTATACACAATGTATGAGATCTGAAAAAAAGCACAGCAAAACATAGTGCTTATCGTAAAAACAGATACTTTATTGTATGTAAAAGTGAACAAAAATCCACGTATCGACCGACACATCAGGAATAAAATTCCTTAACCAGTAGTCTTCATGGCAGCAGAACATATGGTCCTCCAGTGCTTCACAGATTGAATGTCAGCTTCAATCGAAACCTATAGTCGATAATATCTGGACCAGATTCCAGCATGCGTTCCAGGAGCGCAATGATGTATTCCACTGGAGATCCTTTGAGCTATCAGCCTAACGTGTATCGTAGGAGATTCCTACTTCATCAGAGGCATATGACAGGAATTTTACTCAGTGGAATCTATGTTAACTACAGGTTGAAAGTGCAAGTCATGAAGGACAAATTATGTATTCTGACACTGTAACAGTAATTCTTCATTCTTCATTAATTAACTAAGTCTTAATCAATAGTAATTCTTAATAATTAACCACCAATAATGGTGGCTGAGCAAATAAATCTTAATCACAGGGCAAACATTTACAGATCAATGTGAAAACCTATGTACCTGAAAAAAAAAATAGTTACTTTTTGGAAGTAATTAGAAATACCATTATACCGTGTTTAGTATTTACTATCTCAGCTTCATAACTTCTTACTGTACACATGCAGGAGTGAGACCTTACCTGGGAGATTTTTCAAATTGTAACCTCTTTGGGTAAAAGCCCCTTTGGATGTAACGCGTTAGTGTTTTTTATGCAATTGGTTTTATTAGCTTTGTTTTAAATAGAATACATTTTTACTTATCTGGACCTTCCTGACTTTATCCCTCAAGATTTTATCCAGAAGAGCCACACTTTTAACCACCTTGGTGGGTAGTAAACCACCTACGCTACACAGTATTGAGCAATTTTTTGCTCTCTTTATGTGAGTATTATTTTGTTTTTCCACTAACAAAACAGAGAGCACTAATTTCCGTTTTTATTCTCATTTTATACCTGTGAATGCTCAACACCTCAACTGGCCTTTGACCCTGACCTACCATCTTCATGGAACCAAGCTGAGTGACATATCCACAGGCAGGAATTATACCGCCCCGGGTGCATATATCTGGAGCTGAACATAAGCTCCAGAAAATTGTAAGTGGCATTTTTCTTATTTTACCTCACCACCTATAGAATATATTACACTATAGTCTGTTTTCTTTCCTCATATTTTCCATATTGACTCACCACCATACGAGTTTGAGAATACCCAGAAGGCACTGCTTCACTGTACCCTTTCCTGACTTATACCTAGTTACGGACTCTGGTTTGGGAAGTATCAGCTGCCATACCCAGATCTAACAAGTGCTAGGAACCTCACCATCCTATGTATTTAGTTATTATGGAAGCACATTAATAATATAAAGGGTTTTTTTTTTTTTTAGAAGAGGCAGAAACACATACCTGTAAGATGAAAAGCGATTTTTTCCATATATATAATATTTTATATAAATGAGAGGACTGCTACTCATTTATTGGCAGTTGAAGTGTGTCAGATAAATAATTTTCTCTGCTTTTCAGAAAAGCCATCAACTCACAAATGAATCTGCTTTAAAGGAATACCCCAAACTCCATGACAACTACAGTCCATCAGTAGCCCCCTAATGTAAGTAAGTAGATAGGCTGTTCGCTAACAGTTTGACTTTTTAACTTGGTCCTCTGGGTGCCGCGTCATTCCCCATGTCACTGAGAGTTCTGAGCTATGCCTAGAGGAGCAGTCCTTAGATTATTGGTGGAGAGCGATCAGCTGAGCATCTTAGCCAATGAACTGGCCCTCCATTGCGGGGCCTAGCCCAGGTAAGCTAATTGAAGCACCAAATAGCAGCTTCTGGCTCTTAGCACTGGATGGGAAGAGGCATGGAGCAGCGCCAGGCGGACCCTATATAAGAATTCAATCCATTAGTAAATGGTTTGACTATTGAGGGGCACCAGGTCACTCGTAGCACAATAACCACTTCAGCACAGTATAACAGTAATCTACACTAAAGTGGGTGAGGATGCTTTAAATACTGATGTATTTCATGATTGTAATTAGTTAATGCATGCGATGAATCATTTTTAAAATTCAAGAAAATAGTACTACAACCAAAATATTAACAGCTCCATTACATTACAGAATATTGCAACTAATAAAATGATGCCCATAAATTATTATAATCTGAACACTCTCCGCCTTTTTATTTACTGTATTTAGTATTATTTACTTTACTTTTACTTTACTATTACCTTGTCACCGCTCCTTACATTACTGTTTGCCATGTCATGACATAATTAGTTAGGACATATTTGTTTGTTTTTTTAAACATTAGTTCACTCGTTTGCTCTGTTCTTACTAATTGTTATTTTTCTAAATAAATGTTTATTCTGTAGCAGCACACTTTTATTTGCTATAAGTAATGAGTGACTTATTAATGTATTCTTCCTGGTAAAACGTCTTATAAATTAAATAAAAATAAACCGATCTATGTTATCTTCTAAAGCTCAGTCAACATTGTATCACTGTATTATGGTTATTTGAGTTTTAGATTTGCTATTAAACCTTTTTTTTTTTTTTTTCAGTGGAGCACTTCCTCTCTGAGGCCTCTCCCTGTTCCTTGAAATTACAGTGTAGTATCGCCCACCCCCCCTTCCCTCCTCCACCAGCGCTGCTTCCTTCCCCAGTAGCTTAAGTGCTCTACTGGATAAACAGGAAGGTTTAATATCTCAGCCAGTGAGCATATTCACAGCGCAATCATAAGATCTTTGTTCAACACACTTGTTAAAGAGCCAGAGAAGTCTAAATGTGACAGCTAAACTGTGAAACCCTGACCGGGAGACAGTATCGCCATCTGCCAGGAACTTACAAAAGTTCGTTGAGAGAAGGGAGACTTTGGGACTGTCAGGGAACGGAAACCATCAAAGATTAAGGATTAACAAAAATACTGGAAGTTTGTGACTTTATGTGGCAACGGTCTGACAGCTGGCTGGAAGTTTGCTAGGCAGTTTGGCTGTAGAATGAATCTGACCGTAGTATTTTTGGGCTGTGGTTGACAGTTCCAAGCTAGAGGGACTTGGGAAGCTATAAGTGACAATCCAGGAAAAGCAAGAAGGTTCTATTTATGTTGTGACAATGACAATAGTGTATAAAAGATTACACTACATTTGACATTCTTTTGAGAAAAGAAACTCTTACGCAATATGAAACTCTGCACTTATGGACTTGTGAGTTCTTGGAGCCTCTGCCACCTCTTCTTTCTATTTCTGTTGAGTGATTTGGGAGAAACAAATCAGGTAAGGTGTCTGTGGGAGCAAAGAAAGCATGGAACAGGCAGAAAGAAAAGAGGGAATGACAGATCAAGGAAATGCAAAAAAAGGAGAGAAGAAGAGAGTATATTATGGGAATGAGGTGTGAGAGATTTAAAAAAGAAAGCAAGCATAAGGAAGGGAGAATGCCTGTGACCGATTGTGTGTGTATGGCGAATGCGTATGGATAATCACAGTTTAGGGCTATTCAATAAAGTGTACTGTCAGGAAATCAAAGTGATTTTAACATTTACGGCTAAAATAACCGAACAGAAAACAAAGCAGACCTAGAGCTGTAGTGGCTTAATGGGGACCTGCCATGGTATCTTAACCTATTAATGCTTCTAATCCAAATATATACTTTATCACAAAGATAAATTATTATATTCAAATATATGAAAGAATAACACCAGGATAGGAATACCCAACCAAGGGGTTAGATGAGGGTTACAGAGGTATTAAAGGGCATAACCCTAGACATTAAACAATAAAGAAAAAAATAGTGGGGGTTGGTAGCTTTAAACTAAGAAAAAGCACCCTACCTCACTAAGGTTACCTTATTACATTTGAGCTATCTGGCATAATAACAAGCAACATGTTAATCTTACTATTTATTCACAAGTGCTACTTTTGTAGCCGGGGGTGCTCTTTAAAGGCAGTACTGGTGTCTATGGAACAAGTCTAGCAGTCTTTTTATTTTCACTCTGATCACTTATTTTGCACATACCCACGTTATTTAGTGAGTTATGCATTTTTTTTGGCTTCATAAAATGTATTATCTTATATTGATTTTTACTTTTAGAGGTAACCTTAGTGAGGTAGGGTGTTTTTTTTTTTTTTTTAGTTTAAAGCTACCAACCCCCACTATTTTGTTCTTTATAAATTAAATATTCCAAATGCTCTATGAATGTTCATCACAGTACCATCTCGGGTGTTACATCGATTGTAAGTTCCTTTGGGCAGGGTCTTCTTTACCTCTTCTCTCTGATAATATTTTGTATATCAACTACTTGTTGTCAATCATCCCCATTCTATGGTTTAAAGCACACCAGAATATGTTGATGTCATATAAATAGTGCTCATAATAACACCCAATTGTCCATCCCTTCATGGCATTGACACTCTAGGTTCAGTGCCAGTGCAGTGTCATAAGTCACTCCATACCTACTGTACCATAGCAAGTGCAAGACGTGATAAATTAATATAATATATTATATAGGAAAAGAGCAGGCAAAAATCTCACAGTGGTCCCACTCTCACTGGAACACGCACACTTCATAAGAATCGCTCTGTTATCAAAAATATAACGTGTAAAAATCAGCGCACTACACTCCATTCTAGCGTTAATGCCCATAAATCCAGTTTGAAGTTTAGTGTGCTAATAAGACACACATATAATATCTCTAATTATCCTTTATTTGTTCGTAAATGTAAAATGTAACAATGCATTCATCATGAATCTCAACGGGTATATAATCTGTCAGGCATAGCAACTGAACCATTTAAAATATATATTTTGTTTGTTAGTGTGGTTTTCTATGTACACGGACAGTTTAAATGGCAGCTGTATTATTTTGCAGTGTTTGTCCAATCCGTACTCCATTGAGGAGGCCATTTTCTCATTTTTGACCTACTTCCCATTAGTAAATCACAGCATGGTGTCACTGTTTTATTGTTATTGCTTTCAAAGAGCCATGATATTCTCCAGCATTGTAACTACAAAGGGCTTATTTACAATCTTATTGCTGCTTTTTGTAACAAGGTGCAACATATTTCCATGCCTGCTTCTTCTGCCTCAGAATGCAACATTTTGACCGTAGGGATGTGGAATTAATGGCTGGGTAGGGGCTAAAAGCTCCCATTATATCAATGGGTGCCACTACACTCTACTTAGTGACTGGTTTGCAACTGGTTTCTAATCTCACACTACTCATTGCAGGATTCTGTTAACCATTAAACCATAACAGACCGTTCTCGGGCCTGGTGTATAGATTCTATTGACACCTAAATCCCTATACAACCAATTGAAACAAAAAAAAGTCTTGTTCCATCTCTGTCACTACTTTTTACTGGTCTACTGCCACTTGACTTTCGCTACTTGCCACACAGTGGAAGGTGCGCAAGCTCAGCTGTGTGTTTCTGTCACTGATAGTAGTTGGTGTCTGTAACTTTTGCAGTTAATATGGATAGGCTATATAAAAGTAGTCAAAACGATGTAAACCTGGTTGCAATTGGTGACCGTTACAACTACCATCTGTTATTAATAGCAACGCCCAAAGTTGTTTATATTGAATAAATGCTAAACACAATAAATAAAAATGTACAAGATGTCGAGGCCTGCAATACACATGATTCTCTACCAGACACAGTCTGGCTAAGAATGATAAGAGGTACAGTCCAGAGCACAGCGGTGCACCCAGCACTATAATGCAAGGTTATATCACATTTCAAAGTCAACATTTTTAAAGTGAATACTGAGTTTGTACTTGTCTATTACAGAATTGTTCCTAGCAACTAGTGAGAGCATATCAATATTGCCATAACTCCCAAAACCCCCATAAAATTAATCAGGGGTCCCCGGAATAACTTAGTAACCACTGAGGGGCCAATGTATAACCTTCCCTCCCATCATGTTCTTCATTGATGTATTTATTTGTTTAAGTTCTGCTTTGCTAGGCTGTGCTGCATTATTGAACAGCAATGAAAGGGTTAGTTTAGTCAGTAGTAGAAAGTTTGTGCATGCGTAGTAATTGCTCAGGGCCTCTTTAATGTATTTTCAGCAGCCTGGAGCAAGCATTAACTTCACAGGGGGAATTTATTTTGTAGACTTAAGAGCAACACAATTTTTGTAGGTGAAAAATCTAGCATACGGCAGGGGATTTTACGAGCTCTGATGTCAGTTAGAGAGTAGAACGAAGTGGGAAAAAATTCTGATAAATTCTTTAATCATTTAAATCCTTTAATCCTTTTTTCCTTTAATTTAAATTTTTGATTATTATATTTTGTATTTATACTGTTGACTGATAGAACACACTAAATCTGTGTCACATCGCGCAGTGTGCAACGGCTTATTTCTGTGGTTATGGTGCTTAGAAGCTATCCCAGTTAATATACCAGCTAAACCCTCGCCATTTTGATTTTCATCTTCATCTCCTGCACCCTAAGTCCCGACCCCTTCCTGGGGATGCCATATTGAGAAATCTAGCTTCTTTATTGCGCAAGTAGTTGGATGGATCATTCACTCTGAAACGTTAGTAATTTCCCCAGCTCAACTGTTCTGGCCTAAAATTTAAAGTTCACTTTAAATTGCAATCAATTCCACAAACACTAGTTCAGTGAACCACCCTCTCAGTGTGCTCACTCCATCCAACTGCAGTGGTGAAGGTAAGCTAAGAGAGAGATTAAGAAAGAGAGGGGTGTTGAGTCGGACACAGGAAATGAAATGAAATTCAAGAAAATGGGCAGGATTTAAAGCGGCACTGTCATGCCGAATCCCGTTTTTTTTTTAACCCCCCTCCCGCCTCCACTACATCCAATTGACCCACTAGTCACCCCCAAATACCCCTAAGCCCCCCACATTACCTATTTTTTAATCCTTATTTTCTGCCCCGATCTATAGTCAGGGCACCGCCATCTTTGTGTGGGTAGATGAAGTCCCTGTGGGACACGTCATCAGCCCACACTAGGCAGACTGTGAGATTCCCACACATGCCCAGTGAAACACCTGGACATGCCAACGGGAATTTCATCTATTCATTCATCAGACAGACGAATGAATGAATAGAAATATCAGCTGAACAAACTAACACTATGTATCAGTGTTAGTTTGTTCATCCAGTTTATTACAAGGAGGGAGCTACCGGCGTGCAGCTCCCTCCTTGTAATATGTAACTATAGAAGCGGCAGGGAGCAGTGCTCCCCACCACTTCATAAGCCCCCCAGGTCCCCCTCTCACTCTATGGGGGTCAATATGACCCCCATAATAGCACAAGGGAGCTAAAAATCTCCAAAATGCCCCTACTCGCTATACCGCGAGTAGGGGCATGTCTACTAAACAGTGAGCAGCCTGTGGCAGCTCACTGTTGAAAAAAAATGACATAAATTACAATAAAAGGGGGCGGACCTATTGTCCTCTCCCCCCTCCCCCACCCTGAGCGGCGGGTGGGGGCCATGAAGATAATGAGGGGGGGGACCTACTGTCCTCCACCACGGCCCCCACCCCTGCGCGGTGGGTGGGGGCCCTAATAAAACAATAAGGGGGGGGACCTACTGTCCTCTCCCCCCTGGCCCCTACCCCTGAGCGGTGGGTGGGGGCCTTAATAAAACAATAAGGGGGGGGGACCTACTGTCCTCCCCCCCGGCCCCCACCCCTGAGCGGTGGGTGGGGGCCCTAAATAAAGATATGGGGGGGAACTTCTGTCCCCCCCCTCTGGCCCCCACCCCTGTGCGGTGGGGGTGGGGGCCCTAATAAAACAATAAGGGGGGGACCTACTGTCCTTCCCCCAGGCCCCCACCCATGTGCGGTGGGTGGGGGCCCTAATAAAACAATAAGGGGGGGACCTACTGTCCTCCCCCCCGGCCCCCACCCCTGCGCGGTGGATGGGGGCCCTAATAAAACAATAAGGGGGGGGGACCTACTGTCCTCCCCCCCGGCCCCCACCCCTGAGCGGTGGGTGGGGGCCCTAAATAAAACTGGGGGGGACCTACGCCACTCCTCCCCTACACCCTGAGCGGTGGGTGGGGCCCTAAACAATCAAGCCCCTAGTCACCCCACAAAAGGGCCAGGGGAGGACGTAGGTCCCCCTTATTGTTTTTAGGGCTACCCACCCGTGCGGAAGTGGGGCGAGAAGGATTCCCATATCTTAGGGCCCCGCGGGCATGGGGGGGGTTTATGAATTTTGTTGTTTTTAGGTAGCAGCTATAAGCTGCTCACTACCTACATGCCCCACTGCGGCGTATAGCGGTAGGGGCGACTATTACTAATACTATCTTTTACCTAGAAGTGGCAGTAAAATTAACGAAACCAATTTAGGTCTTTCAGCCTTTTAGTAGATAGCTCCCTGATACCGTGGGAATTAGGGAGTTATCTACTAAGCGGCTGCAAGATGCAGCCGCGGCAATGAATAGGATCGGAGTTTCATTCATTAGAATGAAATTCCGATCCAAATAAAGTGCCGAATTGCGTTATAAAAGAAACGAACATACTGTTCTCATTCAGTTAGAACGCAATTCGGCAGTTTTGTGTAAAGTGACAGGAAGCATTGTGAGAACACAGAGGGAAGGTAAGGATCATGGGAAAATTGCTCTGACCAGCGGAAATGAAGCACACTTTGCTCCTCTGCTGGTCAGAGCTGGTCAAGCGGAGGAATCCTCCATAAGGCAAAGAGTCCCTACTTTGTCTTATGATTTTAAAGAAAACTAAAGAAGACAGGAAGAAAAGAATAACAGATCCTGAGAGAGGGGGAGAAGAGGAAGAGATTGAGGAAAGGTAAGTTCGGCATGACAGTGCCGCTTTAAAAGGTCAAATTTCAGGGGAAAGATCCAGGTGCTTTAACCATTTCAATAGGTTTTAGTGTTTGTGGTGTCTGGAGAGTCCCTTTAACATTGTAACGGCTCTGCTATGTTTGTAATGAACACAGCACTTAGCAAATTCCATCTCTTTGAAACATTCCGCTCACAGTAACAGAAAAGAACAATGTTTTACAAAGTAAATTATGGGAGGTTAAAGGGACACTATAGGCACCCAGACCACTTCAGCTCATTGAAGTGGTCTGGGTGCAGTGCCCCTGTCCCCTTAACCCTGGGATTGCAATTATTACAGTTATTGAGAAACTGCAATAATTAACTTGCAGGGTTAACTCCGCTCCCTATGGCGTAGATCTAACATGATTGCGGCGATCGCCGTGCATATGTGTTAAAAACCTCCGCCAGCTTACATTGGCAAAGGATGAGCGAAGGTGGTACCTGACCCATCGCCGAGGAATATTTGTGCTGGAATCAGGTGAGTGACAAGAGTGTTTTTAACTTTCAACACTGCGGAATGGGGGCGCTATAGGTTGTATAGTGCTAGGAATACAACTTTGTTTTCCTACCGTTATAGTTTCCCTTTAAGGTACGGCTACATAAGATTCTCTATTGTTTGATGCTATGCTGTAACTAGAAAACGCAATACTACTCTGTTTCTGTATTAGGACTTGGCGATATTATAGGTAGTGTATTTGATGGATTCCAAATATTTACTGGAAGATGCTGTATTATTACTTAGATGGGAGATAAGGAAATACGCTATAGAACAATCTCACAGCTTAACATAATTATATCTGTTTTTTTATATTCTGTTGTCACAGGCAAATCGAAACTGCAATGGGGACAATCAGTATTACAATCCAAAAGCCAAGAAGTGTTGCGACAGATGTGCCCCAGGTAACATGATATTATATACTTAACACAATACACACTGTTGATCTTTATAGTTAATGCCTTAAAAAAAACAAATACAAAAACAAAAATGTATATTAATTTTAAAAAAATACTGCCATCTGACAACCTTGCATTTGCAGCAAATCCCCAAGCTGTGCTGCTTCCACAGTAAAATTTGCACAGAAAAAGAATTGACTCAGCCAATCACAATCCTCAATAAAAATCCAAAAGGTGCAGGTGTGCAAAGTTGTTTAGAAAATAGAAACCAGAGAAATATACTTGAACAGATAATATGTGAGGTATACCAATATATACACACACAAGTATATGCAGAAATAAAAACAAGATCAGTGGGCAGTTGAAGCATGCATAAAACACCAAGTGGTCTGGTAAAATATATACAATATAATGTATTCAGCAAATTTATACTTGTACTTTTACTTGTATACAGGAACAGCTTAATTTAGAATACATAAGAGCAAGAACCTAGTGCAATATTGTAAAAGAGTATTTTGTAGAGTATATGTAAAAGTAGTAAACTCACAATTGTGGAGTTGTTAAAGTACCACTCCAAACTACCAGGCTCTGTGAGGATCAGACACTGGAGAACGTAGGATCTAAGTGCATGGTTGAAGTATACAAAATATTCCTTTAATTGCCAACTAAACAAATATATCAATAAAAAAAATAATAAAAAGTGGTGTAGTTGTAGATCAAGTATAGTCCTGCATGTCACAATCCTCATTTTAATCTATATAGCCGTGCAAATCATACTTCATAAACTGTGCTTTTGGGGCACAACAAGGTATACGGTAATATTACCATTGCTATATAGCTCCAATATAATCTTCTGAAAGGGAGAACTTAATTATTTTAAAATAATATTACATTTAAAAAAAAAAAAGAACACACCGAGTATAACTAACTGTAAGCTAGCCTACACATTCTGCCAAATATGTGTGAAAACCTCAGGTACACTGCAATGCAAGGTTAACACAATACAGATCATTGCCTGAATAAGGGCATTATGTATCCCCATGGAGCAAGCATAGCTTAAGTGGAATGGGGTCCTTGACAGGGCTACAAGGTGGGCTTAGGTGGGGATGGCAGGGATTGGTTGGTTAGGATGGGGGCAGGCCTAGTATATATAGAGTGGCCATCTTAATTTTGCTACAACCAATCTACTCACCAGTCTGGGTTGATTGGTCACAGCAGCGAGGTTGTTGAGGGGAAGAAAAGGGAGAAACATGGTCTATGGTCAGAAAATTAAGAAGAGTTAACAAAGTTGGTTGATTGGTTAAAATTGGTTGGTTACAATGTTGGTGTAATGTTGGTGGGTTTCAAGCCTGTCGGTGGCTCGAAACCTTGGAGGTGTAGGAGTATCCAGGTATACCCTGTCCAGAAGGCGGTTAATCATTATGTTGCACTTTATTTATGTATATATTTATGTGTTGTTACACCGTTATGCAAATGTTTACTATATGGATCATTGCCTCTATTTATGACATATGGGATATGTCTTGTGATGTAAGGGGTGGAGGGTTGGGGCAATGAATCTACAAGTTTTCAGCTGATATTTTGTAAAAGGTTATTATACATATATGATGGATTCAATAAAGCTGTGGACATATTGACCCATACCTCAGAGTGTCTGTGTTTAACTGGTAACAGTGGTGGGTATGGGAGCTTTGTGGTAATCACCATCTGCCCACATGGCGACTATACACCGGTCATGTGTGGCTGCCCTCGTTAATTCTAAGCACCAGCTGTACAATGATTGGAGGAGAGAAGAAAATCAGAAAATCTGTGCAGTGATTAGAGAAAATCATGCCATTATTTACAGAGACAACAGTTACGGTCACAAATCTGAGGAAGGAACCTGTGCTAGGGTTGAAGGTGTAGAGCAAGTTGAGACCTAGCTAGAGATTGGAGAAGAGAACTAAGCAGAAAAAGCACTGGAGAATGGAGGGGAAGAGAAAGCAGAAATAACTCCAAAGACTGGAAGAGAGAACGCAAAGACAGCATTGGGGATTGGAGGAGAGGAGAAGGCAGAGACAGCACTGGAGATTGGAATAGAGGAGAACGCAGAGACAGAACTGGAGGTGGAGGAGAGAACACATAGACAGCATTAGAGACTGGAGGAGAGAATTCAGATAAAGCACTGGAGATTGGAGGAAAGGAGAAAACAGAGAAAGTTATGTCGCGATTGTAGTCGAACGCAAAGAATGTTGAGTGGGTATTGGAATAAATAAAGTAGAGAAAACTTTGTAGGGATGGAAGAAGGTACAGAAACTGTGCAGTGATTGTGAAGCTGTTTAGTAGTTGCGGGAAGAATATGTAATCGAAAACCCATGCAGTTATTGAGATCAGTGTGGTTAGTTGAGGTTTATATTTTTTGACTGGAAAGAGAGGCCTTGTCCTAAGAGAATTCAATATGACTCATTAAAACTGATATTTATTACTTTTGTACCTCTTCTCTTTTTTACACACAGGATTTTACTGACTTACCAGCAGGTTAATTAGCAGTCGATGTGAGCACAGATCTATGGTATAATCTACTATTAAAGGACCACTCTAGGCACCCAGACCTCTTCAGCTTAATGAAGTGGTCTGGGTGCCAGGTCCAGCTAGGGTTAACCCATTCAGAGAAACTGCTATGTTTATGAATGGGTTAAGCCTTCCCCTATTTCCTCTAGTGGCTGTCTCATTGACAGCCACTAGAGGCGCTTGCGTGCTTCTCACTGTGATTTTGTAAATGCTTTCCTATGCGACGGGCTGAATGCGCGCGCAGCTCTTGCCGCGCGTGCGCATTCAGCCCAGGAGGAGGAACGGAGGAGGAGAGGAGGCAGAGAGCTCCCCGCCCAGCGCTGGAAAAAGGTAAGTGATTAAAGTTCAATTTAGAGATTGAGATACAATTATTTAAGGTAAATTACATCTGTTTGAAAGTGAAACCAGTTTTTTTTTCATGCAGGCTCTGTCAATCACAGCCAGGGGAGGTGTGGCTAGGGCTGCATAAACAGAAACAAAGTGATTTAACTCCTAAATGGCAGTGAATTGGGCAGTGAACTTGCAGGGGAATGATCGATACACTAAAACTGCTTTATTTAGCTAAAGTAATTTAGGTGACTATAGTGTTCCTTTAACCCCTTAAGGACACATGACGGATATATTCCATCATGATTCCCTTTTATTTCAGAAGTTGTGTCCTTAAGGGGTTAATATAGTTGTTCTGGTAAGTATAGTCAGTCCATGCAGGAATTTAATGTAAATACTGTGTTTTCAAAGAAAATGCAGTGTTTACATTACAGCTTAGGCATACCTCCAGTGGCCACTCATCAGATGGCTACTAGAGGTGCTTCCTGTGGCAGTGCTGCACAGTGTGACTGACATTCAGTGTCTGAATGCTCTGCATGGAGACACTGAACTTTTCTTCATAGAAATGCATTGATTCAATGCATTGATTCAATGCATCCCTATGAGGAGATGCTGATTGGCCAAGGTGGCATTTGACTCCACACCCGTCCAGCCTCCTTGGGAAAGTATTGTGTTTGGCTGAGATCATCACTTCTGATGATGTCATCCAAAGAGGCGGATTAGGGGCAGGATCCGCACTAGCAGACTGGAATAAAGGTAAGATTTTACTATATTTAGGGGGCAAGGGAGATCAGAATCCAAGAGAGTATAATAATTATAGAAATCCCTTGTAGTGATATAGCTGTCCCCTCCACACAAGAGACAAGACTCAAGTTGAGGTTGAAGAGGAACTAAATTTTAATGGTGCCACAGTGGCCTTTTATACAAGTCCCCAAGCAAGGTGTCCGCCCATATGGACCTTGGGGACAGGGACGCAAAGCTTACAAACCAATAAGAACAGTTATTAAATGTACGACACTCCCACAACAAACATACAATCCCTCCCCTCTGCCTGTGAGATAATTGGATCAGATACTGTATTAACCCAATTATCTACAGGCAGAAAAAACACATATTTTACAAAACCCGAAAGTACCCCAAAACACAACATATTCCCATACATCTTACATCCCCTGATAGCCCTGATCTGGGTGACCAACATATCCAAAAATCACCCAGGTCAGATCAGGGGTTCAGAAATGTTATGGAAGTCATAATTTTGCCCAGGCTCAGGCATGGTCCCATGCCCAAAACAGTTCCATAGAATCGCAACGAAGTTCCGCTGGAGGAACGACCAGGAACCGCAAGGTTTTCAGGCCGAAAATAGTTCCAGGGCATTCGCGGCTAAGTCCCTCTGAAGTCTATTTGTGGTTTTGGTCCATGCGAACAAGATGGCCGCCACCACGTGTTCGAATGTGGGATGGCGGCCACTTCTACTGTTTGGGAGCTTGAAGGGCCACTTTGAAAGTTCGAACTGTGGCCATAAAAATCCAAAAAGGCACAGACCGTGATTTAAACCAACTTTTATCACATGGGACATAGTCACAGGGTAGGAGGCTGGCAAACAAGCCCCTCCAAAAAACAGTGACGAGGTTACTTTCGCCACACTATGTGTTGAGTGAAGGTATGAAGAAGTCTAAAATGTGAATTAATTGTTGGATATGGAGAGTTATTTAGAATGCTTTTTATTGAATGTGCAGGAATTCTAGAATTTTTTGAATGTGCTATATTTAGTGCATGTCGGGCTAGTTTAGCCAGACAGAAAGCCTAAAACATTGTTGTGTTGGGTGGATTTTGGAAGGAATCCCAGAATGTCCTGTTGCCTCGAGCTGTGATAGAATTAGTGGATGTTTTGTTCTGTGTAGAGTAGGGAAGTCAGTATAGAATGCTGTGTGGTGAGTAAGGGAGGGCAGGAAGCTTAGAATCTTCTGAACTATGTCATAGAGTGTTCTTCAGTTGGTAACTCTTCACCTAGATGTCTACATGCTTGGCCTTTGTGTATTATCTAAACTACTTTCAATTTGCTTACCACTGGCTGAAACAAACTGGCCTATTATTTTTATTAGTGTAAAGAGATATTAGGAGGTGCTGCACTCTTCAACAACTAATAGGTAGAGATGAAATTAAATTGCACAGGTTGGCAATTTATTTATTTCTTTCCCACCAATGTTTGATATGTTTCAAAACTCAAAATAATTCATCTAAGCAAATATTTTCAACTAGCGACAGATAAACTGCGAAGTAATGGACCACCCAAGCTCACAGACTGGTGTCGCCAAAGACTGAAGTGCATAGTTTGTACACCTTGATTCTTCAAACAGGCTGTGAACACAACACAAGTCTTAGAACTGTTTGTCAAGAGTTTCACGACAAAGCGATCTAACATAAACCTAATATTACTACAAGTAAAATGTATTGCCCTTGGACTCTGAAGCAGTGGAAATTTGTTTCCTAAAGAGATGAATCATACATAACCATCTGCCAGTCAGAATATGTTGTCTACCTGAATGCATGTGGACAACTGTAAAGATCTGTGGTGGAAGAATAGTCTGTGGCTCTTTTAGAAGCAAAAGTGGACCTACTCCATATTAATGCATGTTTTTTGAATGGGGTGTTTGATCAGTAGATGTCCACTTTTTGTTGGCCAAGTAGTATATTTACTTACACCTAATTAGTAAAACAAAGAAAAAAAATCCCAAATTGGATCTGTTAAAAGTAAAACATGTTGGACAAAATTTCTCAGGTTTCCCTAAGTAACACTACAAGTCAATTCCAAGCTAAACCTCAAATTATCTTTAAATCACAGTTATGGCAAACTAATGTTATTCTATTACAACAAATTAAGATGATGTAAAACCACGGATTTCCTCCTCCTACTTTGCCTTCCTCAATGTACATGGTGCTGAGTATTTGAAGATTAAAAACAAGTGACTACCTAGACAATGAGGAAACAAGAGAATCATCTTAGATCCAGAAAAATTATTATGGCTGGGTAAAGGTTTCTCAACATTTGCACTCCTTTGAACATTCCATGGGTTGTGTAATCAGAGTGACGATATTTAAACTAGTAGGTTTGGGTTGCCCTGTGTCAAACACCAGTTGCCTGGTTTATGCTAAGGTTTTTGAGGTGACCTGGCCCAAAGTAAATATAGAAGAATTGTCTCTTTCCCTGATTTTTAGTATTATGTTGATTCATCCCCAATTTTTAAGAAATATGTGTTTGTGAGAAATAGTTATCTCTATCCTCCAGTGTCTCCCTTTTGGCTCATGTGCATCATTGTCCGCTTAGAGAGAGCATAGAAAGACAAGGAGAAACAGATACAATGGGATACATTTATCAAAGTGAGAAATGACAGTTCAATTCTGTCATAATTTGAAAGTATTTATTAAAGTGTTCTAAAAGTGACAGATTCACCAGTTGTAACAGAAAGTTTCCATTGCAGGACACACCACCTAATTTAGAGTGACTAAGACAAAACAAAAGTGAAACAGAAAATTTTTTGTGTCAGGAAAAGTGACATAAAGATTGATAAATCTGTTGCTTCACTGAAGAAATTGTGCAAATGAAAATAAAATATGTTCAGGGCACAAAAGAAGGGAATAAAACAAAGACTTCAGATTTAAGAAATTGTGTCTATCCTTCTCTGAAAATTAGATATAAATGTGTTGGCAATAGTGATGTCCCGAACGGTTCGCTGGCGAATAGTTCCTGGCGAACATCGCTTGTTCGCGTTCGCCACGGATGCGAATATATGCGCTGTTCGGTCCGCCCCCTATTCGTCATCATTGAGTAAACTTTGACCCTGTACCTCACAGTCAGCAGACACATTCCAGCCAATCAGCAGCAGACCCTCCCTCCCAGACCCTCCCACCTCCTGGACAGCATCCATTTTACATTCATTGTGAAGCTGCATTCTTAGTGAGAGGAGGGACAGTGTAGCTGCTGCTGATTTGATAGGGAAATTGATAGGCTAGTGTATTCAGTGTCCACTACAGTCCTGAAGTATTCATCTGATCTCTGCTGTAAGGACAGCACCCCAAAAAGCCCTTTTTAGGGCTAGAACATCAGTCTGCTTTTTTTTCTGTGTAATGTAATTGCAGTTGCCTGCCTGCCAGCCTGTGTGTCAGGCTCACAGCATATACTGTGCCCACTTGCCCAGTGCCACCATTCCCTCACAATAGCTTGCATTTAAAAAAAAAACAAACAAAACTTTTTTGACTGTAATATAATAGCAGTCAGTTTCCTTCACGAGTGTGCGTTTCAGGGCCTGCCCAGTGCCACCACTCACTCACTGGTGTCCCAAAGCTTGCATTTAAAAAAAACAAAACTTTTTTGACTGTAATATAATAGCAGTCAGTTTCCTTCACGAGTGTGCGTTTCAGGGCCTGCTCAGTGCCACCACTCACTCACTGGTGTCACAATAGCTTGCATTTAAAAAAAACAAAAAACTTTTTGGACTGTAATATAATAGCAGTCAGTTTCCTTCACAAGTGTGCATTTCAGGGCCTGCCCAGTGCCACCACTCACTCACTGGTGTCACAATAGCTTGCATTTAAAAAAAACAAAACTTTTTGGACTGTAATATAATAGCAGTCAGTTTCCTTCACGAGTGTGCGTTTCAGGGCCTGCCCAGTGCCACCACTCACTCACTGGTGTCCCAATAGCTTGCATTTTAAAAAAACAAACAATTTTGGACTGTAATATAATATCAGTCAGTTTCCTTCACGAGTGTGCGTTTCAGGGCCTGCCCAGTGCCACCACTCACTCACTGGTGTCCTAATAGCTTGCATTTAAAAAAAACAAAACTTTTTGGACTGTAATATAATAGCAGTCAGTTTCCTTCATGAGTGTGCGTTTCAGGGCCTGCCCAGTGCCACCACTCACTCACTGGTGTCCCAATAGCTTGCATTAAAAAAAAAAAAACTTTTTGGACTGTAATATAATAGCAGTCAGTTTCCTTCACGAGTGTGCGTTTCAGGGCCTGCCCAGTGCCACCACTCACTCACTGGTGTCCCAATAGTTTGCATTTAAAAAAAACAAAACTTTTTGGACTGTAATATAATAGCAGTCAGTTTCCTTCACGCGTGTGCGTTTCAGGGCCTGCCCAGTGCCACCACTCACTCACTGGTGTCTCAATAGCTTGCATTTAAAAAAAAAAAAAACGTTTTTGACTGTAAAATAATAGCAGTCAGTTTCCTTCACGAGTGTGCATTTCAGGGCCTGCCCAGTGCCACCACTCACTCACTGGTGTCCCAATAGCCTGCATTTAAAAAAAACAAAACTTTTTGGACTGTAATATAATAGTAGTCAGTTTCCTTCACGCGTGTGCGTTTCAGGGCCTGCCAGGGCACAGTGTCACACCAGTGCAACTCATATCTGGTGTAACAGTAGTGTACATTTTAAAAAAAAATACAATTTTGACTGTAATAGATTGAATAGCAGTTAGTTGTCTGCCAGCGTGTGTGTCAGGCTCACAGCGTATACTGTGCCCACTTGCCCAGTGCCACCACTCATATCCGGTGTCACAATAGCTTGCATTTAACAAAAAAAAACTTTTTGGACTGTAATATAAAAGTAGTCAGTTTCCTTCACACGTGTGCATTTCAGGGCCTGCCAGGGCACAGTGTCACACCAGTGCAACTCATATCTGGTGTAACAGTAGTGTACATTTAAAAAAAAAAAAAAATTTTTTTTGACTTTAATAGATTGAATAGCAGTTAGATGTCTGCAAGCGTGTGTGTCAGGCCTACAGCGTCTACTCTGCCAACTTCTGCCACTGCACAGTGCCACTCATATGTGTTGTCACAGTAGCTTGCACGCATAGTACCACTAATCGAAAAAAAAATGACAGGCAGAGGCAGGCCACCCCGCAGGGGCCGTAGTGGTCGTGGTGCTGTGATTCCCTTTGGCCCTAGAATAATGCCCAGTGTTCAGAGGCCACGTACCCTGAACTCGAAAAGTTCTGAGGACATAGTTGACTGGCTAACACAGGACACCCAATCTTCTACAGCTTCCGCTCGGAACCTTGATGCACCATCCTCCTCCAGCTTAGCTTCGGGCACCTCTCAAGTTACCACTCGCCCGCCTGCCGCCACCACCAACACTAGCACCACAGCAGCTTCACTTGGTATGTCAGAGGAGTTATTTACACATCCGTTTGAAGAAATGAGTGATGAGCAACCATTATTGCCAGAGGATGTAGATAACAGGGATATGTCTCAGTCAGGCAGCATTACACACATGGACGTACAGTGTGATGATGATGATGTTGTACCCACTGCTGCTTCCTTTGCTGAGTTGTCAGATACAAGTGAAGCGGTTGATGATGACGATGCGTCCATGGATGTCACGCGGGTGCCCGCTCGTCAAGAAGAAGAACAGGGCGAAAGTTCAGATGGGGAGACAGGGAGGAGGAGGAGACGAGTTGGAAGCAGGGGGAGGTCGTCGCAAGGAGCTAGTGGCACAGTCAGACAGCATGCATCGGCACCCGGGGTCAGCCAGACAGCACGCCAATTAACGCATGCTGTTGCCACCACCAGAATGCCGTCATTGCAGAGCTCAGCAGTGTGGCATTTTTTTTGTGTGTCTGTCTCTGACAACAGCGATGCCATTTGCAACCTGTGCCAAAAGAAACTGAGTCGTGGGAAGTCCAACACCCACCTAGGTACAACTGCTTTGCGAAGGCACATGATCGCACATCACAAACGCCTATGGGATCAACACATGAGTACAAGCAGCACACAAACTCAAAGCCGCCATCCTCCTCCTGGTCCAGCATCTTCAGCCACGCTAACCACTGCTGTCCTCCTTGCCCCCTCTCAACCATCCGCCCCTCCGTCTCTCGCCTTGAGCAGTTCCTGCTCATCTGCCCACAGTCAGGTGTCTGTCAAGGACATGTTTGAGAGTAAGAAGCCAATGTCAGAAAGTCACCCCTTGCCCGGCGTCTGACAGCTGGCTTGTCTGTACTATTAGCCCGCCAGCTTTTACCATACAAGCTGGTGGAGTCTGAGGCGTTCAAAAAATTTGTAGTTATTGGGACACCGCAGTGGAAGGTACCCGGCCGAAATTACTTTTCGCAAAAGGCAATCCCCAACCTGTACTCAATTGTGCAAAAGGAAGTAATAGCATCTCTGGCACACAGTGTTGGGGCAAGGGTCCATTTGACCACTGATACCTGGTCTGCAAAGCATGGTCAGGGCAGGTATATCACCTACACCGCGCATTGGGTAAACCTGCTGACTGCTGCCAAGCATGGAATGCATGGCTCTGCAGAGGAGTTGGTGACACCGCCACGACTTGCAGGCAGTCCTGCTGCCACCTCCTCTACTCCTCCTACTCCATCCTCTTCCATAACCTCCTCGGCTGAGTCCTCTTCTGCTGCTCCGTCTTGCTCCACATCAACGGCACCCCCCCAGCTCCCCAGGTACTATTCCACATCCCGGATACAGCAGTGTCACGCCGTCTTGGGGTTGACTTGCCTGAAAGCAGAGAGTCACACCAGACCAGCACTCCTGTCCACCCTGAACGCACAGGTGGATCAGTGGCTGACTCCGCACCAACTGGAGATCGGCAAAGTGGTTTGTGACAACGGAAGAAATTTGTTGGCGGCATTGCATTTGGGCAAGTTAACACATGTGCCGTGCATGACACATGTGTGTAATCTGATCGTACAACGCTTTGTGCATAAGTACCCAGGCTTACAGGACGTCCTGAAGCAGGCCAGGAAGGTGTGTGGCCATTTCAGGCGTTCCTACACGGCCATGGCGCACTTTTCAGATATCCAGCCACGAAAAAACATGCCAGTGAGGCACTTGATTTGCGACAGCCCGACATGTTGGAATTCAACACTCATAATGTTCGACCGCCTGCTTCAACAAGAAAAAGCCGTTAACGATTATTTGTATGACCGGGGTGCTAGGACAGCCTCTGCGGAGCTGGGAATTTTTTTGCCACGTTACTGGACGCTCATGCGTCCTTTTGAGGAGCTGACAAACCTAGTCAGTCGCACAGAAGGCACCATCAGCGACATCATACCATTTGTTTTCTTCCTGGAGCGTGCCCTGTGAAGAGTGCTGGATCAGGCCGTAGATGAGCGTGAAGAGGAAGAGTTGTGGTCACCATCACCACCAGAAACAGCCTTATCAGCATCGCTTGCTGGACCTGCGGCAACGCTGGAAGAGGTTTGTGAGGAAGAGGAGTCAGAGGAGGAATGTGGCTTTGAGGAGGAGGAGGAAGACCAACCACAACAGGCATCCCAGGGTGCTCGTTGTCAGGCAGAAGGAGAACGACCTGTACTGGGTGTCCACGCTACTAGACCCCCGGTATAAGCAGAAAGTGCCTGAAATGTTACCGAATTACAGCAAGTCGGAAAGGATGCAGCAGTTCCAAAATCAATTAAAAAGTATGCTTTACACAGCGTATAAGGGTGATGTCACAGCACAACGGGAATCTAACAGGGGAAGAGGTGAAAGTAATCCTCCTCCTCCCACGACCACGCCGGCAAGGACAGGATGCTTTACAGACGTGTTGTTGATGGAGGACATGCAGAGCTTTTTAAGTCCTACACATCGCCACAGCCCTTCGGGGTCCACCCTCAGAGAATGACTCGACTGACAGGTAGCAGACTACCTCGCCTTAACTGCAGATATCGACACTCTGAGGAGCGATGAACCCCTTGACTACTGGGTGTGCAGGCTTGACCTCTGGCCTGACAGTGGGCAATACATTCGACTAAAAAAGGCCTGATGAGGGGGACGTAACAGGGTGTCGCGGCTGCTGGCCCGCCACCTGTCATGCTGCCATACTGTTAATAAGGCAATACATCTTCAACCCAGGTGGAAATCTTTATGGAACCAAATAAATGCTCATAATGTTCTCTAGAGCTAGAGCCGCCACCTGATATTTAAATCCCTAGCTCACCCCAGTACCTTGCTCTGTCGTGGTTTCCTGTTCCTGGTTTCCTGAGAGTGCTTTATCATTGTAAATCTGATTTCCTGGTATCCTGATCTTGGCTTTTCCCTGGTTATTCTGAATTCTGGTTTCCCTGACTTGGCTTGTGTAAATGGTATTGTGTATTTTCTGACTTCCTTGACCTCGGCTTTCCCTTTGACCATTCTCTGTCTCTAGCGTATTAGTCTGGCCATTCTAAGGTCCAGTTTACGCTCTGTCCTTTTATTTTCCTTTTCTTGCCTATGTATATGTTTACATAGTTTCTGCGTGCTGGACCACACTAGTAGTCGTGACATTGGGATTAAACTGATAAGAATAGTACTACTTAACACACCACTCCTATCTGGTGGCACATTAGATTGCACGCGCAGTGCCCCAAATTTGAAGAAGGAGGACCGACCAAGCATCTTTTTCCATCTCCCGGTTCCTAAAATCGATGCCATATACACGTCCCCTGATAGGGGACGTAACAGGGATTAAACTGATAAGAATAGTACTACTTTACACACCACTCCTATCTGGTGGCACATTAGATTGCACGCGCAGTGCCCCAAATTTGAAGTAGGAGGACCGACCAAGCATCTTTTTTCATCTGCCGGTTCCTAAAATCGATGCCATATACACGTCCCCTGATAGGGGACATAAAAGGGATTAAACTGATAGGAATAGTACTACTTAACACACCTTATAATAACGCAGAGAGAGGCAACGCAGAGAGAGGAGTCTGAAGAAGAGAAGTCAGAGGAGGAAGGTGTCTTTGAGGAGGTGGAAGACCAAACACAGCAGGCGTACATGGCTCGGTGGAGGAAGAGACCTTCAATGATATCAGTGAGGACAAGGAACGGGACATGGCTAGCTTGGTATCCAACCTTGTGCAAATGGGGAGTTTGCGGTTGTGTAAATGGACTGTTTGCGGTTGTTTGCGGTGCGTTAAACGGGGAGTTTGGTCTGTCACTGTGAAGACTTTACCCTTACACTACCTGATCGATACAACATCATACCTGATGTTTTAAAGCACGTTATTCCAAACTATTTAGGAATGTTAGGTGATTTATGCCCTTTATGGATTAAAACCAGACTCTGCATCAACTATGTAATTTTCCATGGGAGTTTTGCCATGGATCCCCCTCCGGCATGCCACAGTCCAGGTGTTAGTCCCCTTGAAACAACTTTTCCATCAATATTGTGGCCAGAAAGAGTCCCTGTAGGTTTTAAAATTCGCCTGCCTATTGAAGTCTATGGCGGTTCACCCGGTTCGCCCATTCGCGAACATTTGCGGAAGATCTCGTTCGCCGTTCGCGAACTGAAAATTTTATGTTCGCGACATCACTAGTTGGCAACACTTTGTTAAAAACCCATCATTGTTTGTGTCTGTGCTCCTCCAATGCAATGTGTGCCTCGACTGATCTAGTTTGTGATGTGTCAATTGCTAAAACTTTAAATCTATAAAGTTTTAGACAAAATATGTGATTTTAAATATTTTATTTGTAATTTCCAGAGAAGTGAGAGATAGTTCCCTGTTAAGGAGTTGAGATGCCCTAGCAATGTTAAAAAAGACCCTCAATTTCTGCCTATGGAAAACAGATCAGAGAAAGCAAAATTATTTCAGGATACCATAACACTTACAGTTTTTGTCAGTTTTATTACAGGAAAGCTAAACAAAATCAAGAGCAAACAGCAGGAACCTCTATACCGTTAGCACTTAACATCATTGATAAATAAAATGGCTGGTTTAACTATCTTTTTTTTTAAACCCACAGGCAAATATGTAAAGCGAGAATGTGACTCTACTACACCAACACAATGTGAAAACTGTCCTTCTGGATCATACACCAAAAAGTGGAACTATGTCGAAAAATGTAGTATGTGCCGGCCATGTGGTAAGACAGACCTCTGACACTTAGTCGATTGTATTACTTGACCACACAATAAAATATTACGGCTCTAGCTCTAGAGAACATTATGAGCATTTATTTGGTTCCATAAAGATTTCCACCTGGGTTGAAGATGTATTGCCTTATTAACAGTATGGCAGCATGAGTTATTCTTATCGTTTAATCAAGCATTTCATTTCAGATTGGGAGGGTTTGATTTAGTTGTTGACTTGTGTCTGAAAAGTAACTTTGTTCGTGCACATTGAATGTAGTCACTGTATAGTATTATGAAACATCTTAAAACCACACCAGACAAGTTACATAACAATCAGAAAAATGTGTGCTTAATTGTTCTCTTTAAATATATTTATTAGTGACGTTAGATTGTTCCTTTTTTTACTATTTGATTATTGTCCCTTCCCCCCCACCCCCGTCTCATGTGGCTGTATCAAAATAGAAGAAAACCGACTGTCTTTTAAGAGTCATTACTTATAATGATTGTGACAAAAGCACTTTCGCCACTGGGTTTTTTGGAGAGGCCTGCTTGCCAGCCTCCTACCCTGTGACTATGGGACCTGCAATATACCTGATATATGATCTTTAAAAGGCTTTATGTGATGTATGTGCTTTTGTACTCCATAAAGAGAGACTGACCGTTGGCCCTAATTCCCTGGAACTGTTTTGGGCATAAGTACCATGTACGCTATCAGTCAAAACAATGACTTCCAGGAAATTCCAGAACCCCTGAACCGATCTGGGTGATTTTCGGATATGTTGTTCACCCAGATCGGGGCTATCGGGGGATGTAACTTTTATGGGGTTTTACATGGTTCTAAGGTACTTTTTGGGGATTTCATTAAAATGTATGTTTTTTTTCTGTGGATTTTGTAAGTACAGTTCCTGATTCAATTATCTCCCAAGCACAGAGTAGGGATTGTATTGTTTGTGTATGGGAGTGTCAGACATTGTTACACTGTTTTTATTGGTCTGTGCATTCTGTAATCCTGTCCCCATCAGGTCCAGGGGGTGTTCCTATGTATGAGGATTGTGTATAAAAGCCAGTGTGTGAACCATTAAAGCTAACGTCTTACCCCTTCATGAAGTTTTGGCTCATGTTTGGGGGGCTGGAGAATTACGTTCACACTCAGGGGATTGCTATATCCCAATACTCCCCTGAGTATAATCATTAGATCTTCTAAAAGCTGTTCCTGCTACGCTCTCTGGACTAAGGAGAGGTTCACCCACTGGAAGCTGGAGCCTAGTCATAGGTCCAGAGTGGGTGGAGGACGGCCAAATCCCAACCAAGCTGTGGCGGTTCGTGGGGTCTCTGTTATGGTGTTCCAGGGAAGTGCTTATGGTACTCATCAGTACTAGGAAGCAGAGATTGATGGGGGTACCCAGTCGGGGTGCAGGCGGTCCGTCACAATGATCTTGGTCCAAAGACTGACCTCTTGCACTTAGTCCACCGTATCTCTTAAAACACTAATATTGTTTAGTCCAATGTCAGTGTTCTGCTCTCTGCAATGACACTGAAAGTCTCAATTGTACTGGTGTAGGTTGTCTATTAAGACCTTACATCTGGCCTCACTAGGCGTATCATTGATATCATTAAAATAACTTTTTTTAGAAGCCTTTGAAACAAGGATGCCCTTTAGTGAACACTCTGGTTTCTGTGATTTCCTACGGAACTCCCATACCCAGACAGAGCCATATACTAACTGATGTTTCAGCAAAGTTACTCCAGGTATTAGCAATTATGGTGTAACTTTGTTTGAAACCACAAAATGGTCCCCCTGGCTCCAGTAAATTGAGCTGAATGTTTCCAGCCCTTATTACCAGATATAACCTAGTTCCCTCCAGTTTTTAGCTCATGCTATCACCCTTCCTCCAATTCTTCCAGTTTTCTGCCTGTTATTATCCTTGTTTTAATACTCCCCAGTTTTTTGTCCATGTTAATATCCTTTCTCCAATCCTCACCAGATTTTAGTCCCGTTATAATCCTTCCTCCAGTTCTCTCCAGTGTCTGGTCCATGTTATCAGTTATCAGCAGTTATCCCCACTTCTCTTGCATGTGTTTATCCCACACTCCCTGCCCATGTTATCCTCCTTCTCCCTGTTCTCCCCACTTTTCAGCCCACATTTTATCCTTTCTTGGCTTCTTCTCATTGACTTGTCTCCTCCTCTATATCATCCTACAGGATTAGATTTTATAGTAAAGGTGAACTGCTCGGCCACCCAGGAAACAGTCTGTGAATGTCAAGAAGGGTTTGAGTGTCATTATAGGAGCAAGCAGGGGTGCATGGCTTGTCTCCCTTCTCCCATCTCACCTCTGCCACTGACAGAAAAAACCACAGGTAAATGAGGGTTCCACTTCTCTTGCTTGTGTTTAAGAACGTTAAACATTACTGAATTTTAATCCCTCAACCTTTCACTCTTTGCAACTCTTTAGGCCACTGGCTATAGTTAGTGGTGTTATTATTGTATACTTTTTTTTTTGTAAAGTAAGCCTATCCGTCCCCTGTCAGAAATTCACCCAACAATCCTGCATGTCTGCTGACTCGGACACCCATTACCAACAACCCATCTGTCCACCACCAATAACCCAGCATTTCTGCTCTCTCAGATATCCATCTCCAACACTCTGCCTGTCTTCTCTCCCTTGAACATATATCCACACCTTGTATACCTGCTCTCTCATTCAGATGACTCTCACCATTAAAGCTGTGTGCCTTCTCTCTCCCAGGTGTTCACCAGATTCCAGGATTACCACCGGATAACTCGGTTTACATTTCAGGTAGACTTCCTTGATATGTACATATCTATATATTTCCTGTTTACATGTTCTCTATAACGAGGATACATAATAACCTGCTTCCCATTCCAAAGGCAGAGTACTGCCTGCACACAGTATCTCAAAACAAGTGTGGTTGTTAAATACTCAATTTGGCTCACAGGCACTGTACTGCCTGCTACAACAAGGGGGCACAATAAATGTCATTGTGGTTCACTACTTCTTTGCTGCCTAGTATAACATTGTATCTCTAAGGCTTCTTTATTGCCTCCTATAACAGTGGTAGACAACTAGTCTGCATTGGAGCTTATAGGCCTTTTATTGTCTGTTAGAGCAAGGATACCCAATATACTACTCCCATACCCATAGGACCGTTACTGCACGTTATAACAAGGGCACGCATCACAGTGGCCTATAAACCATCTCTTATCTATTGAAAGTAAGCAATATACTGACTCTGAATTCATAGGTATTGTTCTGCCTCCTGACCCATAGGCCATTTACTGTCTGTAAGACTAACTGTGAATGTTTGGTTCTTACTGTGTCCCAAGCCATAGATCGCTCAGTTCCCACTATAATCATAGTGCATGTTATACTGTGTCCAAGCCTACATCTACTATTCTGCCTTTTATAAAGAAGGTTTAATGTAGTATATTATTTTGCACTAATTCAGCCTCTCACTTCCTTCTATTATGACTGTTGACAATAACCAGCCGCCTGGCCTATAAGCCATTCTTTTAATTCTGTAACGAGTGTTGGATATCCGATCAACCTTGGAAATATCTATAATGACTCCAGTATAAACAGTTAGGGATGTATGAATATGCAGCAATATAAAATAAAATGTCTCCTGTTGGAATTCTTTTGAGAACTGGGTTGTCATCAACAAAATGTTAGCTATAAATAAATGTAACAAATGTGTGATACATTGATTCACTTCTGGGAATGGGAGGACCAGGGCAGATCTTTATAAGAAACATCAGAGCAGGAAACACTGGGCAGACAGGTCCAGCCACTTGCAATAGGAATAGGAACTTTGTAAATGTTCTAGTTAATATTAATATTAATATAATGCTTGATGTAATATAATGATGTGTCATGTGCATCTCTATTTGTAGTGGATTCAGAACACTATGATGGTTATAACCATCTGTAGTTTTATTAAATATTTTAGTTTGAAATTTAAGTTTTTTGGGGGGAAAACCATTTTCCAGTGTATTCAGTGCATTGATGACTATTATGTAATATTAGTGTAGTTTATCCTTAAAGGAACACTATAGGTTCTGGAACATGTAGTACATTCTTACCTTAACTCCAGTCTGCTGCTAGTGGGTCTGACCCTGATATGCCTGCTTGGCTGACATCATCAGAAGTCTTGATCAAAGCCAATCACAATGCTTTCTCATAGGAAATAATTGCATTGGCTGACACTGTCAAGGAAGCAGGTCAGGGGCAGAGCCAGCACAAGCCAAGCACAGCCCTGGCCAATCAATATCTCCTCATAGAGATTAATTGAATCAATGCATCTCTAAGAGGAAAGTTCAGTGTCTCCATGCAGAGGCTGGAGATATTGAATCAGTCACACTGTGCAGTACTGCCCCAGGAAGCACCTCTGAGGAGTGGCCAGTGGAGTTATCACTAGGCTGTAATGTAAACACTGCATTTTCTCTGAAAAGAAAGTGTTTGCAACAAAAAGCCTGAAGGGAATGATTATATTCACCATAACAAATACAATAAGCTGTAATTGTACATGTTGTAAAACTGTTAATTTTTTTAACCACGCTAAGCAGACTCCCTCTGATTTTAGGCAGCCTAAGCAAGCAAAGCTGGAATAGTTGAGTGAAATTCAGCAGCTATCATCTTTCCTCAGTTCCTTGTTCTCAGTTCTGAGAATAGCAATTGCAGAATTGTCCTGTGTCAGCTGCAAGTTCTTGGTTCCAAATGCATTCTGGGATATTGCAGTACTTAACTTCCTTAAATCTACCCTCAGTGTAGTAGATGTATGAGTGGACCTGGAAACATTTTATTTATTTTTTTACAACTGCTGTTAATTTACTATAAGAGGTGCACATACTACTGATTCCGGCCCATAAAGATTTTAACTTTAACAAAGTGGCAAACAATATTACAGGCTGGCCAATCAACTGCTCACAGTGGAGGTCCCTGGTCCCAACAATTCGCAGTTTCACTTATTCATTTTTGTAACAGCACTATGAACATTTAAAACCTATCAAAAAGAACACAATGTTAAACTGCAATGCACAGTAAGGAAGATCTTTCAAGTGAAATCGTTGTTGACCACTAGTGATGTCGCGAAGGCAGCTTCAACATGGATGCTGTCCAGGAGGTGGGAGGGTCTGGGAGGGAGGGTCTGCTGGAGATTGGCCGGGATGTGTCAGCTGACCGGAGCTTGCCGCGAACGGTTTGTGGCGAACCGCGGCGAGCCGTTCGCGGGAAGTTCGCGAACGGTTCGCGACATCACTATTGACCACACGATAACCATGCCAATGCTGAGATGTGTAAGCTTGCAGAAGATGTTGGTCGATGATCCTGTCAGGTTTACTCAATAGAGTTTAAGAATGTTATCATTTACCAATCCTATACTGGCTGCCTGAGGAGTCGCTAGAAGTACAAATAAATGTGAATATTTATAGTAGCCGGTATCTAGGAGCCTCAGATAAACACATCTCATTTCCACATTTTATCTGATCATACTCTCCCTCTTTTTTCAGGTTCCTTTATCTTGATTGTGACTTTAATTCTGGTGGTCATTCTTGGTCTAATGGTTTTCTACATGTGCAAAAAATGTTTCCTATTGAAAAAAATAGGTAGGAAATATTACCGTGGCATGCTATTAAATATTATCCTGAACAAGCATTAAATATTATCCTGACCTAGTATTAAATATTATCCTGATCTAGTATTAAATATCATTAAATATTATCCTGATATAGTTTTAACTATTATCCTGACATAGTATTAAATATTACTAAATCATTTCCTGACATACTATTAAATATTATCCTGATGTAGTATTACATATTATTAAATATTATCCTGACCGAGTATTAAATATTACTAAATATTATCCTGATCTACTATTAAATACCATTAAATATTATTCTGATATAATATTAAATATTATCCTAACCTAGTATTAAATATTATTAAATATTATCCTGATCCTGTATAGAATATCATTAAATATTATCCTGATATACTATTAAATATCACCCTAACCTAGTATTAAATATTATTAAATATTATCCTAACCTAGTATTAAATATTAAATATTATCCTGATCCAGTATTAAATATCATTAAATAGTATCCTGATATACTATTAAATATTATCCTTACCTAGTATTAAATATTATCCTGACCTAGTATTAAATATTATTAAATATTATCCTGATATACTATTAAATATTATCCTAACCTAGTATTAAATATTACTAAATATTATCCTGACATATTAAAGGACCACTACAGCAAAAAAGGGTTAATCCTAGGTGGACCTGGCACCCAGACCACTTCATTTAGCTGAAGTGGTCTGGGTGCCTTTGGTGGTCCTTTAAAACAACAATAAATTCACCCTATTTGCCATAAACCAATGGTTATCATGGTCTTTACAAGGTCTGTGCAATAGTATTCCAATACCAAATTAATGAATGAGAGGACCAAAAGTCTTCATAAAATTGAATATATATAAAAACAGAAAGTCTTTATGCAAACAATTGCTTGTGTGAATAATCCTTAAAAATTCATCAGTAATCCAGTCATCCACAGTCTTAGCTTGTCTCAACCGTGCAGATCAGTTGCCCAACTTCTCAATATCCCATTTCAAATATTTTAAATTATGTAATATTTTTCAATACCATTCTCTTACAAAGGTTATTTAGGCTAGGGTGGGTGGTCCTTTATTACCCCTGAAGAAAATCTTCCAGTTAAGTCACTAATTAGATTCAGCATCTATAATTTTGTACTTTTTTCCACCAGCTTCTGGCAAATTATTATAACCTATCTGTAGTTATATTTTATTTCTCCCAGTAAGTAGTGAAAAGTAAAAAAAAACTAGACCCGCCTCCAATTCTTATGAAATATGAATATAATATGTACGACATTTAAGAGGCAATTAAAATTTTTACAAAATCTTCTCTCTTTATTGCAGCAAAAATACTCATAAAGAAGGTGAGTTTATGTTTTTTTTTCTTTTGTTGTACACAGATACACTTATACTGTGCATATATTCTTAACCCGCGTATGTTTTACTGTACGTAGAGTACAATACAAGAGGTGTTCCTGACAACGTGAGACTGGTCTTTACTAACTTGAACTTTCCTTAGTATGGTTGTTATTATTATTATTATTATTATAAGTTTCAACTGCTGATTGAACGCACAAGAGGTGTTGAATTCCATAACTAAATACCCTCTCTTGCAATATTTAATGTAATCCTTTTTTTTTTTTTTTAAGTTCTTTATTTTTGATTGACAATAAGTAATAACAGGAGATGTTGACCGGGCTTGAGCACAAGCCGTGAAAAACATTACAAGAAATATCAATATTGCGATACTGAGTCACATAAGAGAATGCAATTACGGAATTAACACAGGAGACTCGGCATACAATGCAGTTTGGTAGGATAGGTCTTCATTTACATGATGTCAAGGTGTTTATTTTTTAGTTGCGCGTTATTATGGTCGCAGATGGTATGCTAAGTGTTAGGTACATGGTGGCAACTGGGGGTGGCGAACCCGATGCTTCTGTAGGTTTGTATGATAGATATGGGGTGATAGGGGGTGTTTGGCGATGTATTGAGACAGCTGCTTGACTTCTTACACTACTGGGGATCTCCCTATCTGATGTAATCCTTTTTTTGTGCACAGAATGGAACAGGTTATCAAAATGAGAAAGGAACTAATACCGTGGGAGGTATGGGAAATGGACACAATACAAATCCCTTCCTGCAACTAACAGTGAACGAGACAGCAGATGGGAAGTACATGGATGTGGCACAGACTGTAACTATCATTGCACCTGAAAGAGAAACAGGCCAGTGTATAGATAGAATTCCAGAGACTGTCTCTCAAGAAGAAGAATTACTAAACCCCTTGCAGTGTACAGGTCAGTTTACAGAAAATAAAAACGTGCTAAAGGGAACAGGAGAACACGTAAGGAGGTCTATATATTCAATAATAACAATGGCCTTGGAAAGTCATTTCAGTCACATAGATTAAAGACAGTGTTGATTCAAAGATTAGGGTACCACAATCTCAGTGAAAACCAAGTGCATCAAAGACCTGATTGGCAAAACCCAATTTAGCAGATATTAGTAGAAAATAGGTCCAGGCACTCAAGGATTCTTCAAAAAGGCAGATTTATGGAAAACTGAATGTGCAATATTTCGACCTACACAGTGGCTTTTGTGTAGATCGAAATGTTACACATTCAATTTTCAATAAAACTGCCCTTTTGAAGAAATCTTGAGTGCGTAGACCTACTCTCTAATAACATAGATTAAAGGGACTTTCCACTGCCCAAATTAAAACATTTAAAGAAATAAAATTAAAAATCACTGTTAACTAGATATACAACCAATGAAAACATGCTTCCCATATTTTCATTGGGGTTATTTCTGAAAACAGCTTTCAATGTCAGCAAATCTTTTATCTGCAGTCTTTGCAAACACTTTCTTTCCCAGCCCAGACTTTCTGTGGCTGTCCAATCACAGACTTCCCAGTGCAATAAGAAGTATTTGCAAGGCAAGTTCCGAGTAATTGCTGCCTCTTGCATTTAACTCCACTGAAATTAAACAACCAGGAAGTAACATCACAGGTTGGATGATTGACAGCCAGGGGGTTGTAACAAGGTTGAAAACCAAATAAATTTGATTCAAGTAGGATCAAAGAGAAGTGGATCCAGACCCACTTGTTACATTTGAACTGTCAGAGAATTATATAGTAAACACAACTTTTCACATTCTTAGTGCCATTCTTTTGTAGAGATTGCAATTAGAGCACTGACCAGTTAACGGGACGTTATAGTCAACAAAACAACTTTAGCTTAATGAAGTAGTAATGGTGTATAGATCATGCCCCTGCCATCTCGCTGCTCAGTTCTTTGCCATTTAGGAGTTAAATCACTATGTTTATGCAGCCCTAGTCACACCTCCCTGCATGTGACTTTCACTGCCTACCTAAACACTTCCTGTAAAGAGCCATCTAATGTTTACTCTTCCTTTATTGCAAATCCTGTTTAATTGAGAATTACTTATCTCCTGCTATGTTAATAGCTTGCAAAATCCTGCAGGAGTCTTCTGTATGTAATCACAGTTCAATTTACAGAGCAGGAGATAAAAACTGTTAAAGTAAGTTAACATCAGATTGAAAATCAAACCATTTTGTTTTCATGCAATCTGTGTCAGTCACAGTCAGGTGTGGCTGGGGCTGCTTAAACAGAAACAAACTGATTTAACTCCAAAACGGCAGAGAATAGAGCAGTGAAACGTAAAAGGGATGATCTATACACCAAAACTTTGATAAAAATTGGTAAATACGTACCAGGAATGACTATATAACTGTAACTCAGTGCATAAGCAGGTTGTTCCCTCCATACACAGTGATTTTTCATCACTGTTACTATAATTAGCAATAATATACAGTTTCAGATGGGAAGCAGCTTCCTTTCACGGAATCGCTAATTAATCTGCTGTTTCCTGGACAGTCTAGTTTCATTGTTCTTTATTCTAATTTTATTCAACTTAAAACATCCCAGGGAGAGATCATAAAAAATAAGGATAAATCAATAAACAGAATTATTTACTAAAGTGAGAATTGTCGGGAATTGAAAGTTAGTTCAAAGTGAAGTTTAATACAAAAATAGCCAAACCGGTCAGTGCTGCGGCGCTTTAACAGCGTGACTGGATCCCCCCTGTGATGAGGTAAGAACTGGGAGGAATGAGAGGGGCTGGGTGCCTGAAGTTTACACATGGGGGAGTAAGACATATTTGGTATCCCCAGGGCATTTGTCACACCGGGGCCCTGTGGTTTCTAGTTATGCCTCCGACAGACATAACATAGGAACTACTTTGTCTTAGTATTTTTACCTATGCCTGACACTTCTAGACACTAGGCCAAGCTACCAATATCTAGGCTGCAGAGATATAAGGCTGTGTACAAGAGAAGATGTTTAGGAGAATTGAGTAGTGTTTTCAGGTCACTGAGTATTGGGGTAATGTATACATTGTGAGTGAATAGTGAGGGACAATACATGTCTACCTACAGAGGATGTTATCCTAATTTATATATTAATGTGTATGTTATTCTCAACATGTTCTTCCTCTTCAGGCATCAGAAACAACCCAGATGAACACGACATTATCAACATATATTCCAGCCCTAAAGCTGAGCTGGTGTTACCCCAGGTTGCGAAAGTTTGTGTCCGCACGCCTAAGCAAGTTGCTGATACCCATCTAAGCTTCCCAATCCAGGAAACGCAACAACCAAAGGGTGAAGAAGATTTGCACATGGCATTAGAAGCCCCAAGCCATATCTACTCTCCTACCCCTAGTGACGTACATGGCTATATCGATTATACTGCTCTTGCGAAGACACACAACTGTACCTGTCCTCTTGCCCCTGTGGAGTGACAGAGTGGTATTTACATTGCTCTCCCCACATAAAATCAAACCCCACACTTAGGGGGTTATATGCTGAGCAAATCTCATGCTGGGCCTATCCAAAGTCCATAGTGAAAAGATGATGTGAAGTGCCACAACAGCTCACCAAAAGTGTGACATGCACTTTTCTCTTCGCTTTACAGGGTTATAATCTGACCCCTCCTTCTGCAGGAGAAATGATATAAGGGTAACGGTCTGAGTTACTAGCAGGACCTATATGGTCAAAGTCAATGACAACATCCCAGAGCTTCTTGTCACAGTGTTACCTCTATAACTGTCAGCTGACGATGGTTTATATTGTTAAAATTTTACATCACAGTAATTCTCATGTGTGTTATATTTTAATATAATATATGTAATGCAGTTCAATGGTAAACACGTGAAAGGGCAATGAATGTGTTATGGGTATTAATTGTGGATCTAAGAAATATCCCAGAATCCTCAGCACTGAAGGAAGTATTATTGTATCAGTAAGGGCTGTGTATATCTACAGAATAAAATAAAAAATACGACAGTTCGGGAGCCTCGTGGAAAGGAATGCAGGTGGTTTCCCGTGTAAGTTAGTAACCGTTTAGAACATGACATAAAATGCATTTATCTTCTCATGAGAAATTACCGGTATCTATTTTCTACACAAAGAGAGAAAGCAACATGTTTAAAGCAAAGGAGAATAAAACCGTTTCAGATTTGACAATAGAGATCAATGTTTTTTTTTACTGCACTCAAGAAAACACAAGTCAGGAAAAAGGTTAATCCATGGCAAGGTTTGAGAATTTGGGAATCCAAACAGGGTCATTCCCTAAATCGAGAATTCAGAGTGAAATTTAAAATGTAAGGGCAAAATAGCCACACACGAAAATGGAGATTTTTTTTCTAATTCGGCTATTCTGGTCTAAATTTTGAAATTCACTTTAAATTCACATTGCAGATCCAGGCAATTCTCAGTTTAGTAAAAAGCCCTGTAAATCAGGAAATGTGTATATATTGCACCACTTTTATCAGTCATGCAAATCTAACAGGGTAACTGAGTACATGTGCATTGTCAGGAATTCCACATGAATTTCAAATTATAGTCAAAAATAGAAAATGTCATGTTAAAGTTTCATTTCACTTTGAGCACACATTGAATTCCCAGTAATACACACGTTAGTAAATAACCTGGTATATGTATTGTGTGTTGCCAAGAAAGACTCACTGTGAATTCTGATCTACAATCTTTTCTAAGAGCTGTCACGTTTTACAATATAAGCTATAAATTGGGTGCTTTCCCTGACGTCTCATTGTGTTAATAAAGTTTATCAATGTGTTTTAAAGTCTAGAAATGTTCTTTAGTTTAGAAAAACGTCGCCTGAGAGGGGATATCATAACATTATACAAATACATTCGGGGCCAATACAAACCATTGTGTGGAAATCTATTCACAAACCGGACTTTACATAGGACACGAGGTCATGCGTTTAGTCTGGAAGAAAGAAGATTTCGTCTAAGGCAAACGAAAAGTTTTTTTACTGTAAGAACAATAAGTATGGGGAATTCTCTGCCTGAAGAAGTGGTTTTATCAGAGTCCATACAGATGTTCAAACAACTACTAGATGCATACTTGCAACAACGTAATATTCAAGTATATACTTTTTCAATGTAGGGCAATAACTGCTTGATCCAAGGATAAATCTGACTGCCATTCTGGGGTCAAGAAGGAATTTTTTTCCTAGCTTGTTGCAAAATTGGAAGTGCTTCAAACTGGGTTTTTTGCCTTCTTTTGAATCAACAGCAAAAAACAAATGTGAGGAAGGCTGAACTTGATGGACACAAGTCTCTTTTCAGCTATGTAACTATTTTTTATGCCCAGTTTTATGTTGATGATTTTGATGTTGTTGTTGCTGTTTTAATTTTACTTTGTAAAAAAAAAAAATGTATTCTTTATTTTTGCTGTGTTTGATAATACAGAGACAGCCTGCAAAGCCACAATAGCAATACAGGAGTATCAATTCACTAAGAAAGACGTGTAGATAGAAGGCATACATACATAATAGTGTGACGTTATGTGGCAATCCCTATCACAGCACATTTTTTAGTGGTAAAAATAAAGCAGAGCAAAGGGAGTACATACATAGATGCAACAATTCCACCTATCACCAGTGACAAAAACAAATTAGAACTTAACTTATAGGTACATAGCCTCCCAGGGTTACCTTCCAGCTGGTAATCAAGCACAACAGAAATGTAAAAAATGAGCTTTTTTAAGCGATCCTGCTGATGTACCTAAAAACAAAGATATAACATAATGCCTGATATAAACAGAGTGTGGAAATACAATTGCATTCACAAGTTGGAGATGATAAAAGCGTTTTTTGGGTACCACCTATATCAATAGGGAGCTAAAGCTCCTTGTTTGGACTTGTCATCGAACAGGGCTCTTGTATCTTTCTGCTCACTAAAAACATCAATCCAGAGATTTCTTTAAAAGGATATTTATTAATAGATAAAATTACAAATAAGGTGAGTTGGACAAATGTGCTTAAAATGGTGGTCCCACACGTTTCGTTCTCACGTGAGAACTTCCTCAGGGACCCAAGTATAAAAACAAATAACAGTGGTACAATAAAACCTCACAGACTAATTGATGTGGAGTGGTGGTCATCTTCTCCTTATATCTCCCAATTGGTTGGTGTCTATCTTCTGTCAGCTGTCTTTGTTTCCTATCAATTTGATTCTTCAGGGTGTTTTAGAAAGTCCGTCTGTATTGCGTGACAGACGGACTTTCTAAAACCCCCATGAAGAATCAAATTAATAGGAAATATATTACGTATATAAAACTCACACTAGTCACGACTCACATTACACTATTCACATAACTGATTTTGGCCAAAAGGTGTGTACACACCTGTGATTTAACTCCTAACTGGCAGAGAATTGAGCAGTGAAACTTCAGAGGCATGATCTATACAATTAAACTGCTTTATTAACCCCTTAATGCCGTTACGGCGTTCTATGCCATCCCGCATTAAATGGGCTTTAAAGCCGTTGTGGCGGCGTAGAATGCCATAACGGCTGAAGCCCCCAGGAGATCAGAGGTACTTACCTCCGCCACGATCCTCTTCTGGAGGGCTGCCTGAGGCCCCCGGGGCCATGTGATCACTCTCAAAGAGCGATCACATGGCCCCCTATAGCTGGCTGTGGATCTGCCAGCAGGGGGACTGTCTGAAATGTCAGACAGTCCCCCTGCTGGTGGAAAGTATAAAAAAAAAAAAAGTAAAAAAAAAGTGTGTGTATATATATATATATTTGTGCTCGGAATTTAAATACGTAATGGATAGTATCTGTGAGCAAAGTTGGTTGTGGTGTGCCGAAACCAACGTACGAGTGGGCCTGTAAATAAAAGAGGGCCCACCAAGGATAATGTAGTTAAAACAGGGTGTAGGTGGGTGGGGACAATCAGCTGAGCGGCAGCGGTGAGTAGGGGCTGGGAGTTTAAGTAGGGGACTTACTCCTCCCACAAATTCAGGCCTAATGGCCTTTCTACTTGTGCTCGGAATTTAAATACGTAATGGATAGTATCTGTGAGCAAAGTTGGTTGTGGTGTGCCGAAACCAACGTACGAGTGGGCCTGTAAATAAAAGAGGGCAAAAAGATAAATTCAAGAAAATACACACTTTATTGCATTTTACAAGACCAAGTTCCTGAAAGCTTGGCGAAGCTCTTTCTCTGGTTGCGGAATATATGCGTTATATATGGAGGATTTCCAACGCCCGAGCCTTTTGATGATGTGGACCGGTGCGTTTGTGCTAGAGGCTGCTGAGGCGGCTCCTATGCGGAAGGAGTGCCCGGAGAATGCAGCCGGGTTGTGTCCGAGCTTAGATAACAGGGTTCTGACATGTAACATCAATTTAGCCGTGGTAAGCGGGTGCCCTTGTAATGTTAAGAGCGGAGAGTCTGGCAGGTGAGTGTGAAGAGTTGACCGTAGTTGGTCGAGAACTTTCACCGGACACCAGGCATTATCAGTAGGGAAGAGAGGAATTATAGTAGGATGAATTGATCGGTTGGTTTTCGTGGTAGGGATAGAAAGGAGGTAGTGATCCTCTACCTTGGTGAGGTGTGAAGTTTTAAGGCATCGTGCCATATCTCCTTGACAAATCACGGTGAACTCTCTAGGTCTGAAAAAACCGTAGAAAGCGAGATATATGGCAGATTTTATCACCGTATTGGTGTAGCTATCAAATGGGGCTGTGTCAAGGAGATTGCTAAGTGACCTGAAGATAGGCCCGTCTATGGCTAATCTAGTGCTTGCGAGTGGTGGTGAAACCTTTGATATACCTTTCAAGACCTTTTTTATGGGGTATGAAGACAAAAAAGGAGTGCTGTTAGGAAAATTGGTGAGGCTGTGGTGCTGAACCCCGGTGAGGTAAAGTTTAATGGTGTTGTGTGACAGATTAAGGTGTAGGTGGCAAAAAGAGGCAAAAGACACCATGGTTTGGATAGAAAAGTCACCTTGTAGCCCGAATTCTGCAGTGAATTTGTTAAATATGTTAAGTGCCCTATTGTAAGTGATAGCAGTGTTGGGTGATAATGCTTGGTGAGTGAGTGATCTAGCGTGAAGCAAGAGTGTGCTTAATCCAATATTAGTTCGTGAAACCGTGGTGTCCTGGATGGCTGTTGGTGAGCTGCTGGGAGTGCCTGAGAAAATGCCTGGAATCGAGAACGAGAAAGAGCGTCAGCGGCGGTGTTGTGAATACCCGGGATGTGAGAACATACTAAGTGAAACTGATTGGATGCTGCCAGCCAGGTCAACTTGCGAATCAGCCGCATGATGGTCAGGGATGATGAGCGCCCTTTGTTAATGATATCGCAAGCTGCCGAGTTATCTGAGTAGCATTTTACTGCCTTGCCGGACCAGAGATGACCCCAGGTGTGTGCGGCCGCCACAATGGGGTAAATTTCAAATAGGGCTGAGGTCTCCCTGAATCCTGGCAAGGCATCCATCTCAGTGGGCCAGTGGCCCCTAAACCAGTGGTTCCCGAAAATGGCTGCGAAACCGGTGTTGGCTGCTGCGTCTGTGTGGATGATGGGTGAAGAGGTGGAGAGAGGGGGGATAAACATGGAGATACCATTCCAGTCTTTCAAAAACTTCCCCCACATAGCCAAGTCAGCCTTGGCGTGGGGGTCCAAAGAAACTGTGCCAGAGTCCGGAACTCCGTGGAGCAGGCAAAGAAGTCTGGAAATGAAAGACCTTCCCTGCGGAATGATGCGCATGGCGAAGTTCAGAGAACCAAGAAGGGACTGAAGTTCTCTCCTGGTGCAAACGTCATTCCGCAGGAACGTGTCTATCTCCCCTCTCAATCGTGAAAGTTTGTCGTGTGGAAGGCTAGCTCTGAGTTTGACAGAATCGAGCTCTATGCCTAAAAAGGTCAACTTAGTAGTGGGTCCTATAGTTTTGGCTGGGGACAAAGGGACTCCCAGTGTGGAAAAAAGTGCGGTAGTACTATTGATTGCTGTGGGTGTTGATGACCCTGGCTCTATCAGTAGAAAGTCATCTAGATAGTGAATAACGGAGTGACACCTGATGACGTTCAGAAGCAGCCAGCATAGTGACTCCGCGAAAATGTCGAAAAGTTTGGGGCTGCTTCGAGAACCAAAAGTGAGTCGTGTTGAGAAGTAATAATACCCTCGCCATTTAACACCGTGTAAGTGCCAGAGTGAGGGGTGTATGGGCAGTAATTTAAAGGCGTTAGTGATGTCTGTTTTGCTGAGCCAGGGTCGATTACCAGATGTCATGATGGACTGTATGGCGTCGTCGATGGTGACGTACTGCAGAGAGAATTCGTCTGCTGGAATGAGTGCGTTTATGCTTGGAACAAAAGAGGAGTGCGGTGCCGATAAATCGATAATGAGACGTTTTTTATTAGAATATTTGTGAATAGCAATACCAATAGGGTTAGTGCGCCAGGAGGAAAACGGTGAAGAGGTGAAAGGACCAATCATGAAACCGTTTGTGGTTTCAGCGGAAATGAGAGTGTCTACAGCGACTGGGTCTAAACGTGCAGACTGGAGATTAGGACATTCTAGTGTACCTGGGGGAATGGCTACTATGCCTGTGTGAAACCCTTGTGAGAAACCTGTGGTGAGAAAATCCACTAAGTGCCTGCTGGGGTGAGACCTTAGATAAAAAACCAGGTTGTCGATATTATGTCGGTTAGTCATTTGTTTGGTGACAACCTGGCTGGACACATGGTCTTGGTATGTGCCCTGAAACATATGGAGCAGATGTGCAATAATCTACAGGCGCTGAAACTGCAGGAGCCTGCGTTGAAATTATTGCACACCTGTGCTTTACCTAAAAAGGAGATGGGCCTACCCAGCTTATCCCGGAGACCACCCGCTGGCTTGTTGTGAGGGGTGAAAGAGGAGTGAGGTGTGAACGTGGGGTGAGGGGTGGGAGTGGAGGTGGTGGGATCTGGTTCGACGGGACATAAGTCCGCCATGTGGGATGTAGAATTACAGATGGCACAAGCCGGGGGCCTGAGTCCAGCGAAGTGGCGACAGAAAAGTTCCGTGTCCATCTGACCCCAGTTCATTCTAATGTTGAACTGCTTGAGGTGGGTCGCCGCCTTCGCTGAAACTGACTTGTGGTAGTCATAGAAGGAAGAGCCCCCGTACTTGATGCCTAGATCCACTACCTTGTGGAGATAGAGATCTAGCTCTTCTCTCCTATGGGGATACACCGTACAAATGACGTCGCGGTATATCCCAAAGGCTATCACAAACTGTGGGATAGACAATTTTTTATTAAGCCTGGGATCCCTCGTTTTGAGCACCACTGAGATGTCACCATAATTGTATGCCTTGTTCTCGAGTACATCCTGAGAGGCTATGAGTAAAGACACCAGACACACATCCTTCCCGTCTAGGATATCT